CTGCCTTATTATCTGATTCCTAATGAAATTGTAAATAGCTTCTGATATTGAGTATGATGGTTTCTTACCAGGGATCTTTTTACACACACAATTTAATTTACTTTAGGGTGTTTTTTTCCTCATTCCACTTTCTTACGCCTTTGCTGTAGCATTAAAACTGGATGAAAAATACGATGGAGTTACAGTCTCATATTTCAGTGGTGTTTAACAAGTGGTGGCGGTGCCTGTGTGCAGCTGTTGACTGGCAGTTCTGAGAGACTGAAGAAGATACAAGTTAATGGGTAATGATGATGCAGGTGATTCAGATCATTGATAAATTGACCTGGGATTTCTGTTTAGTCATAGCAGTTCATGCAGCCTGTGGTTTTCAGCTGGTAGAGAAATAAATCCAGGTATACTTCACTAACAGGGCTATTCTTTCCTATAGAAGAGTTGGAAAAATAGAAATAAATCAGTTGACTGGTGTTTCCCTCACCACTTGGTACTTCACAAAGTGGGGGACACTATGGTAATATTGGGTTGATTTGCTAAAGGCGAATAGACTGTACACTATGCAAGCAAAGATGCTGTATTTTTCTATTTTCCTTGCACATGATTGGGTATTCTTTGCAAAGTGAAATTTCAGCTCATTCTTAGGAATTTCTGGGAAACATTTCCTGGCACAGTACAAGTTACCATGCAAAGTGATAAAACCTATTTGGCTTTAGTAAATGAAACCCATAGTATATTTATTTATTTTATTTATTACAGGTACTTGTATAGTGCTATCAATTTACATGGTGCTCTACATATATATTGTACATTCACATCAGTCCCTAACCCTCAATATACATCAACAAATTCTTTAGATATTTAAATAGGAGCCTTGCGGCTGTAAATTGAATATGGTTGGGATTAGTTCAGGGCAAGATTACAGGAGGCATCACTTTTAACACCACTTCAGTAACCGGAAGCCTAAAAACTAAGCCAAACACTAGATATTTAACATGCCAGACTTTTTTTTTTTGGAGAATATTTTATAATGGATAGAGGGAAGGGTGGAATTATACATATGTGCCTCAAAGTACCAGTTGGTGGAATATAAAGGGCAAACTATAGGGATCCCAGCCAATGGATTGACTGATATCAGGTCTCTATGTTTGTTGACTGGGTCCTTCTTTTTACGAAGCAAGCCACATTCAAACTTCCTGAAGCAAATGTTTAGCAAAGTTTAACTGAAACCTGCCATAAGACCAACATCTGAGCTACCAATGCTGAGCTTTCCATCTGAAAACATCGTCGTTTGGCTGTCATTGAAGTTTTTGCTTCTTTACTAAAAGACCAGGTGAAATCAAGCACATAATCAAATCTGACTTTCATTAGCTGCATTTTTATTTAGGTCTGTGATTCAGCTGTATTGATGTAGGTACAGCCATCCCATCCTATAGCTAGTGTAGTTTCTTGGTATCTAACTTCTGATCTCCCATATTATCCGTTTTATCTCCTGGGATTGCCAAGGCTGTAGGCAGGTGCAGTCTGATTTCTCCACTCTAGGTGGTGCTTGATCCAAACGGTACCCCAGCCTGGAGAGGAAGTCAGCAGCAACCTGGTATCCTGGTCCCTGAAGGCAGCATTCCAATTGGCTATGCTGCATCCAGGTAACCCCTGGTGGCCATCTTGGGTCAGCAAAGGCTTTATAAGTCCCTGTTCCCAGGTTTTCCCCAGGTAAAGAAAAATAACCCATCTGTGAGGGAAAGTATTAGTGGCAGGGAAAGGTTCCTGATGAGTAGGGACAGGCTAGGGGTTTGAAATCCTCTATGGAAGCCTCCCTTTGGGACTGGACTGGCCAGGCCACATTCTACCCACTGAAGACAGACACTGTCAGTGCATCTTTACACACTGCATTGAACAGAACTGTTCAGCACTCTCCCGCTGGGGTTGTTTGTAGTTGAATATACTCTGCAATACAAGTTTTGAGTTATCTCCAACAGGGCTCTGTGTTATTTCTGAAGCTGCACCTCCCAACATGGCTTTGTACAAGTCTGCAAAGATGTTGTTTATATGGTTCAGTGACAACGAAAATAGATCTAAATAGGTTCTATACTGCTACTGTTATACTCTCACAAAACATCTACAGCACTGAAGAAGTAACCCTTTGCAAAAGAATGCAAATACTGACTTTGTTCAAAGTTGGTTCTGAGAAACATTCTTTTCCCTGTCTCCTTCAATCTAAAGCAGGGACCTCTAGGAACGTTTATGAGGCACTTGTGTTACTTTGTGGGATGAGGTAGCTGAGCACTAACTTTGAGCAAAATCAGTCCTTGCATACTAAACCCATCCCTGAGGTCCTGGGGAGCAAGGAGGAAACATTTTCAGAAGAAGTGATGTTACATTAAACAGCTGAGTATCAGGGTTGGTTTACTTTAAATATTATAGCTTTGTAGACTCCAACTTTAGTTTCATACAGGAACATGATCTTCTCTGCTGCTTTTTAAACCCATTGCGGCACTGCACTTTTGTGTCAAGCTACTGCCTCCATGGGAATAGGAGTGTTGTATATATGAATACAGATGTCCTAAACTCACTTCAGTCACCTCACCACCCTTTCTCTTCAGTAGTAACCATCAAATCCCATCCAAACAAAATTATGTGTTGCTGTGACCTTTAGCAATGCCTGTGGCAGCTGCCATACTTCCCCTAATAGAATTTCTTTCACATTTTCCCCAAACATAAAATGTCTGCAGCTGAAGTGGCTTTTTTCAGGTTAATTGAACCAGTAAATTCTTAATGGCTCTCTTTCGTTTAGTTAATGTAATGCACTTTAGGGCAATCAGAGGAGAGTGAGAACATAAAGCGCTTAAGTAATCAAGCTAAAGCATCATTACAAATCACATAGCCTACATAGTACACACTACTAAATATTTATTTTATGTAAAAAAAAATCGGTTATTCTGCTAGGTGAATGGCCAGTTATGAAGAAGAGTTATTAAATTGGATATGACCTTTTTAACGGAAGTATGGTCAACAAATTCATTATTTTCATAACACATCCAAAGCTAAAACAAATACATAGATTACAATGTGCTTGTTGTAATAAAACAATGTATTGGTAGAATGAGGTTAGGTCAGGTAGGTTATGAATAAGTGTTTTTTAATTGCTCTTTTGCGCATGTTCAGAAAATCAGCACTGATGTCTATGGAGTGGCTGTCTATTATACATCCTAACTGTTGACGGCCTTCCAGTTGAAATAATAGCCAATTTTTCTTTGCAATCAGAGGGAGCTGCCTAGTGTAAAGACTTTGCTGTGGGGAAGATTTGGAGTGGACTGATTAAAATAGAATAATTTTGAGGGAAAGTGTTGATGGAGGGGAAAGAGTTTTCAATTAATGGATACCTATGCTAATATGATTATCCCTTAAGGTGTATTTTCAAAAAGTGCTGCTAAGATTCACTGCTATATCACCAAGCTCTGTCTTTCATCATTTTACCTCATTATCCATTCCAATGCTATAAATGCATGGAATTCTCTTTAGCTTGCCATGCCTAAGCACTGAGTCCCCATAGACTTTAATAGATTGTATATTGAGACTGGAGATCCTAAATACTTCCCTATTTAAGCCTATGAGAACTGAAGAGAATTTTGTCAAGAATATAAACACCTGAGTTGGCCAATGATTGTGCAATGGAGATAAATAAACAGCTGGGGTGATGAGTGCTTCGTGTAGTTTAACTTAGCAGGACTGGAGGAATGTGAATTAGTGATAGTTTATTAAATGTAGACCCCTCATTTCATGTACAAAGTACTGTGCTTCTGAACTTTCCTCATTGAACTCTTGCAAAGGTTTTGCTGTCAGGTGATGTAAACTATAAGGGTTAAGAGAAGCCCAGGAGCTAGTACCTTATAGAGTGGGGCATGATAAAGGTCCTGCTTCTTTGTATTGTATATGCATGCTCAACGGTAGTTATTTAAAGCTGAATTTGCTGTCAATTTTCACTGTAAAGATTCTTCAAGAGGTTGAGTTTTTGGCAATTGTAGCCATGAAACCTAACTCTCTTACAACTCTTACAACCCTCTAGAGCTGTTGTGGTAACATCCAAACAGTATGGTGGCACACATGACTATAGTAGATTTTACATGACACAGATATACCAGAACCTTCATTATTGGAATAACCAAGAACAGTGTCTGTCTTAAGTATCCTCATCCTTCACATTAAATTTGCATTGGCTTTCACTACATTCTAATTCTATAACATTTATTATAAAATGTTTGACAATGTATTCATATAAGTTTTGAAAGCAACATATTACACACTCTTGCAAGAAATATGACAAGAATCAGTTGATTTGTGGTAAAATGGATGCCTGTTTTGATTTCTTATTTACAAGAATGGTTATTAACCACTTCCAGTCCGGACACTTTTACCCCCTTTCCTGGCCAGGCCAATTTTCAGCTTTCAATGCTATCACACTTTGAATGACAATTGCGCGGTCATTCAACACTGTACCCATATGAATTTTTAGCATTTTTTTGAGACAGATAAAGCTTTATTTTGGTGGTATTTATTCACCACTGGGATTTTTATTTTTTTTGCTATGTGAATTAAAAAGTCCAAAAATTTTGAAAAAAAAAAGTGTTTTTCATATAAAATTTTGCAAATAAATAGTATTGCATCATAAATCCGTTATATTATAGTAAAAAAAAAATCCCAGATTAGTTTATAACCAAAAATTATAATTTAATTATTATTTTTTATATTATTTGTTATTATTTTTTTTTTTACATACTGTCACCCTAGTAGTACAGTGTCACCATGGTGACACTGTACTACTTGTGGGGGGTGAGGAAGATTTTTTTTTTTTTTACACTGATTGCTTTTACACCTGTAAAGGATGTAAAAGCAATCATTTCTCCTTCTCTCTAGCTGCATTCTTGCAGCCATTGAGAACTACTGAGTGAGCTGTGATTGGTCACAGCTCGTCACATGGTACAAGGCTGTTGTGAATAGCCTTGTACCATGTGACCTCTGTGATCATTCACAGATTTCACACGTAGTAAGCAATGATGTCACAAGTGACATCTTGCTTACTACTCTGCATGTGATCACTGATTGGCCAATAAGTGATCACATGATCGGGACCTCATACAGAGGTCCCATCCGACAAGCGGTGTTCCACTGTGTCCGGAGGACACAGCGGGCACCGGATCACGGTGCTGAACGCTTCCAGGAAGCGTGCACAAGCAGGGTGCAGGGAGGCCGTTTATAAACGGCCAGCCAACCCTGCACTGCCACCGTCTGGCCGTTTATATACAATGGCCGGACGGGAGGTGGTTAAATTACTAATGTAAACTCCGGTCATGAATAGTGTTACCTTCATAATCAGAACACCTCCTCTTTCTGAAAATTTCTCACTTTCAGCTGCTACTGGAAATATATTAAGTGACATAAAAAATATGTAAAGGTATGTAGTAGGTGGGAGGTAATTTTAGTAGAGGAGGTATGATGGAGTTTAAAAAGAATAATGGAAAGGAACTCCTAAAATGGACAATAGGCCTGACTGTCAATCTTTGTGCGTGTTATCAAACTGGCTAATGAGTAATTCAAAGTGTCTGCATGTTGCAGTAACAGTATATATGTTAAAGTGGTCAGAGTGGTGGATAAATACTGGGACTGTCATTGACTACCTGCTTCTGAAACCCTGGTTGACTGGTACGCTGGACAATTAAGTACATTTATATGATAATGATGACAGTGTAAGGAAAAATACTCAATAAAGATATAATAAAAAAAAAAATACTAAAGACAACTAAGTACATCATTCATAGAAAAGTCACAATTCCTTATCTATTAATCAAAGTGTAAGAGGAAGAACAACAGCATTACAACCAGAAAATTAGCATTTTCAGAATTTTCAGAGATTTGCAGTGGCAGACTTTCTTCCATCATGATAGATTTCCTTTACCAAATGCACACCTATAGTTCCCGGTATGGTCACAAAATGAGGTTGTACGTTCATGAAATCACCATGATTCACCTGCAATGCAGTCATTGTTATTTTCATCTGCAGGTTTCATTTCATTGGAAGACACCTCTACAACTCTGTGACACTGAAAGTGATCATAACTCTCTTCATCCACTAGAATATTGTGCAGAAAACTTTGGTTATCTTGTAGGGATGATAGCCTGAAATCCACTCAGCCTTGTATATTCCCTACTGAAGTTTCTAAACCAAATGTCTGCACATAATCCTTTGCATTGTTTTAGATATTAATTTACACTCTTAATCTGGTGTTTAAGTCCATGATTGAAGTATCTTCTGAATTAGAGGTTTTTACTCTTCATTATCTTAAACCACTGTGGTCTAATCTTTGGCTCTTTAACAAAGATCCCTCATTTCTGTTATCCCGGCTCATTATTGGTATAAAGATAGTACGCTTCTTTCTGCTCATTTTCAAAATGTGTGCTATCTAATATCAGAAACGTTAAATGCTACAAAGCACCTCGCCGTTTAGTGCCATCTTGTAAAACTGTGGGAGATGATTGTCCTCAATGATTTCTCCTCTCCGGAATGATTTAGAAGACGCTGTGTCAGCAATGATTTATCTATTGACAGCTAAGGATAAAAAGATACGGGCACCCATACAGCTCACCCTTTTTCAGATTAACCTACAGACTGCATTAGGCAAATTTGATGGCATAAAAAGATTTTGCCAATTTGTCTAGAAGCAATTCCTCTCTGGGACTGCACTAAGAGCAGCCTTTCATGCCACTGAGCAATTTAAATGACTTTGATAGATAGTCCAGGAGGTTAAAGTATTGTACTGTACATCTATATTATCACTTTAATAAAAAGCCAATTTACTTAATTGCTGGGTGAAATTAATCTCCGGAATTGGAAAGCTTCTCCAGCAGGATGCAGGGCTTCCGTACTTCATTCAGTGTTATGCTAAGGGAATGCCTTAGTGGAGACGCTTGATATTGTAATTTCCTATAACATTCAATCAGCAATTACTGTTGTGCTGTAATCTAAAATCCCGGAATGCTGCCTCACTAATCTTAAAGCCAATTATAAAAATCTGAATATGTTTTATGCGTGCATGTTTCCAGAAGTACATACTGGCTACAATACCATATGATGGCACATGTCCAACCCACCCTAAGCTTACCCTAATATATCTGGTATCATTCAGGGAAGGGAAAATCATGCTAACACTTTAAAAATGCTTATTTTTTGGGCAGTTTCTTCATGTCCCCTAAAGTATGTCTAAAGTTTTTTTTTTTTTTTTTTTTTTGGAATAGAGTAGGGAAGGCTTTCAGCCCCTGCAAGGGTTTTTTTTTTTTTTTGCTCTCTTTGGGGTTGATTCACTAAAAACAAACAGACTGTACACTTTACAAGTGCTCTATTGACTTTAGTTATCCAATCAGTTGCAAGCTGTGTTTTTACATTTTCCTGGCATGTGATTAGGTATTATTTGGAAAGTGAAGTTCTACCTCATTTACTAAGCTCTGGAGCAACTGCCCTTTTGGACAATTCCACCTCCATTTCTATTCTGGTGTCAACTCAACAGTTTGGAATTTCCCTCAAGTCCCAGTGGATTGGTCACCTTCACAAAATGAGAAGGTGAACCTCCCTAATGGGGACATAGGTCTCAATGAAAACTTTAATGGGGTTCCAACAATTTCCTACTCTATCCAAAACTGCATCATACTCTTGACGTATTAGTCATTTCTATTACTCACTTGATGTATTCCTTGGACTTACAGTTACTAATTGATCATTTGGCCTTTCACTGCATCCTCCGGTGTTTCAGATTTCTCATTCTCTGAAACTACTCCCTAAACTGAAAACTCTGCTATAATAAAAAAAAAAAGATAATAAAAAAAATGTTTAGCTCTCTCCAATAGTGTTATTTGTAATTATGAAGGATTTGTGTGGAAACCACAATATGCATGTTTTATTAATACAATATTAAATGCCAAACCTATAGGAGGACTGAACGCCTCTAATAAACAGAGCACCTGGTGTGCACAGGGTGGTCTCTGTCTGTTAGTTCTCTCCCAGGATGTCCTGAAGCCACGAGTCTCAAAGGAGATCACATAGAGAATAGCTATGACATTGCATAGAGTTGTCTTTGTGGCCAGTGTCACTAGCTTTGTGGGACATGTTTAAAGCCGCAATCTGACTTTGTTTCATACATTTTATTATTTTTTTATAGATTACTTTCTCAGTTTAATAATCATAAACATAGGGATATTATGATATGTATGGTGCAGCTGTGCTTGTACATTGGTTTTGTACATAAAATGAATCAGAACAGAAATGTATTTGGAGAAAAGGGAGAATCTCAAGCCACTATTTTATATGTGACTAATAAAGTGCCTGTGGAATTAAAAAAACATTCCAAGGAAACAGGTGAAAGCAATCAGTGAACTACTAATGTTTTCAGGCAAGCCCTGGAGCTGTGCTAAAGTCAGAAAGTTGCTGTAATGGTGCCCATACACTAGACAAAAAAATAGTTTGAAAATCTGTCATTTGCACAGTTTGTTCGTACTGCATATATGTGGCAAAATGAACAAAAAAGTGATTCATTTATGTCCAATGACCGATTTCAGTCATTACATGATGGCAATATCATTTGCTGTCATGACCAAGAGTTCGTTATTCAAAAATGAGTTTTAGCGATTTTCAGACTAGTGTATGGCCAGCATTATTGTCACAGATCATCTAACAGGGTTAGTAGGAGGGGAGCAGGAATGTACTTCTATGCTCTCTGATTTCTGTATTATCTATCCCACTCAACACAGATTTCAGTCTGCTCATCATGAGTGTGCTGCCATTTTTTTTTGTTTGAATCCAACTTTCTGTATATAAGGAGTAGTGATGGGATTTCCAGTATCTCCAGTGGGGATTTTAACTAGTTCAGTACTCCAATACCTGGATGACAATTAAAGTGATGAACAAGTGGGCATCTGTAGGTTTCAATTTCAGTTTTGACTATGATGCACCCTAAGGCCCAACAATGCTCTTGCATGGCAAAGATTAATTGCTTGTTTTGTGTAGGGAACAGGTGGTGCTCCCCCATGATCCAATGGTGCACTGTCTCTTGGCACCTTCACCTCCAGAGCAGGGCTATGGACCCTCTTCTGGTCTTGATGATCTCAGGATCCTAGACCGGTGGAGCATGGGGATGCAAAAGCTGTGGGAAGGAGCGGAGGCTCAGGTAAGGGTATCTTCTTTTATTGTTCCCCTAGGCATTAACCAGGGTTGATATATATAGCCATTTCTTGCATTTTTACTAATTGTTGTTTGCCTAACAGGCTAAAAAGATTGTCAAGGAAACTCGGAAGCAGCTTATATTCAGCTTGAATCTATTTCTTCAGCAATTCAAAGGCAAATCATAGCAGAACCCAAATTTTTTTATTTTTCTCAGATTAGTTGCTATCAGACGCATACTTAGAGTGCCTGCACTCTTAAATAAATAATGAGGACCGCTACATTGCACACCCTTTGTTTACAGTCCTTGTCCAGAAGAAATCCAGCTTAGTTTTCTGTTGCCTTCTAGTGGAGCTTTCATAGACTGGATCCTCAAGGGTGAAGTCTCAAGGGTGTCTTTGTAGTTGCAGGTATGGGCCCCCCAGCTCTGCCACAGCCGTCCCTGATGAGCTTTAATCTAGATCAGCAACAAGGCCTTGCAGAGATGGCAACACTTCCTAGACCAGGCTGTCCTGGACCAGATGTGTAGGTCGCAAACAGGCTTCTGGGCCTAGCAGCATAGACAATCCAGCAGCAACTCCACAAACCTCAGTCTGAGACAAGAGAGCTAGCACATGGCCTTACCAGATATTTATACTCTCCTTTGGTATGCCCCAGTGGCCTGTACCCCCTACTGGGACAGCTGGGTGAAATATGAATATTCATAACATCTGGCAGGGAAACCTCATACTGTAACCAGGGATGTCAATGACACCTACTGTCAACAGTAAGAGATAACCATCCCACTGAGCTTAAGGAGAAACTAAGTGCACAACTATACAAATCAAAACTGGAAAGACTACCACCCAGCTAAAAACTAAATTTTCCTATGAACTAGCAACCTATCTAAAAGGGTGCTACATTTTACATTTAGGTATAGGTGGACTTTAAACATTGATTTTCCAGAATCAGGTAACATTGTATTGAAGAAAGCTAAACAAGTCTTCAAGTGATGGATAGGTCTGGAGCTGCTTGGCACTTCCATTAAAAATGTTGAAGCAGGAAGGCACCCTAAAAATTAGCAATGTAAGACGCGATGCAAGTCAGAAACATCTTTAAGAGAGATCCATGGTCACAACACACGCTTTCATTTTATAACATCAGCATCGTAACAACAGTACAAACAATAGTTATTTTGGACAGTCAAATAAAATCTGCTTTTATGTTGTGAGTTCTACCTGGCTGCTGTTCTCTTTACACAACTTCCTGGATTCCCTTCATGCTTTGCAGCATCTCCTCTGCTGTTTACTTTCAATTTCTAAGGCCTATGTATCCCATGGTACCTTACTGCCCGCAAGCAGTGATTCCTGTACTAACTCCGCCTCCTGATATTCCTCCTCTTATCACATCTGTAGTTCAGAAGGCAGGCTCTGTGAAATGTGTGACACAGAGGTACCTACTCACAGGGCATAGTGAATTTAAAAAAGTAAATGTGTAGGGATCTTCACAAAAGTAAGTTTACAAACTTCAAGATTATTCAGATTATTAGGAATAGGCTAGAAATAATTGAAATTTTGAATGTGTGATTTCACATTTTTGGACTTTTGGACATTTTGGAGCTTTAAAGCTGAACTCTAGAAGCTAACAAGCAATTGGAAAGCACAGCAATGGAAATCACATTGTTCTCAATGGTGCCCATTCACATCAATGCAACATGGTGCAATGTGATATTTGAAAAGGTTCAGGTCCTTCTTTGGTGTAACATTTTTGGCCGCATTGTTTGAAATGGGAGCGTATAAAAAGCACAAGAAAAATGTGCGTAATTGCATTTTTGGTGTGTTTTTTGGCAAGGTTTTTAATTTTAAAAAATCTTCTACCAGAAGACCCATGAAGCATGAAAAACTTATCAAAAATTTGCAAAAATATGTTACAAATCTCACTGAAAATCCCATGATTATGTATCAGCATTAGTGTGAACCCAAGCTCATTCGCTCCCTTTTGATCTGTTAAAGTGGTTTCAAAGGCTAAGGCCTTGGTCACACCATACATACAGAAAAACTGATTGACTCGTAGATTTCGCTTGCAGAGACATCAGTTTACATCAGTTTTCATGCGCACAGCAATGAGTTGTATACGTGTTGCAGATTCCTGTGCAGAAAAAATCTGCACGTGATACTAGTGTTGTGGTGTGAACAGGGCACATAGAGAACAATTGATTTCATTGTGCCCTTGCAGAACGCGTGCAGAAAACCTGAGGTCTCTACACCATGGTGTGAATAAGCCCTAAAGGTTTTCTTGCCTTAATGTATTCTCTGCATTAAGATGAAAAACCTATGTGCAGCCCCCCCCCCCCCCCCCTTACGCTTACTAGAGTCCAGTCTCGATCCAGCACTGTGAATGAGAGCAGAGGCTCTCTCCCTCTTCATTGGGCCAGAGATAGCAGCGGGCACAATTGGCTCTCACTACTGTCAATCACAGCCGGGGGGGGGGCTGAGCTGCACTCTGTGTGTAAATGGACACACACAACAGCTCAGGAGCGAGACCACATGAGTGTGCCCATAGCAAGTGGCTTGCTATGGGGGCACTCAGCAGGGTGGAAGAAGCTGAGAGCACTCAAGGGGAACCACAAACGAGGAGGCTTGGGGCTGCTCTATACAAAACCATTGCACAGAGCATATACAAGTATAACATGTTTGTTATTTAAATAAAATAAAATGTAATCCTTTACAATTGCTTTACATATACTATTGAAAGTGTTTTATTATCTCTGTTCAACAAGTGCAAAAAATAGCTTTTCATCCAACTAGAAAGCTTATGGACTGATAACTTGCTGTACTCTCTGCTTCTGAACGGTTATCAGTTAGCACTGTTCCCTGACATCTTCATAGACTGCAAAACAACTCCTTCCCCCCTTGTTATGGAGGAGAGAGGTGTTTATGTAGTCCTAACAGTGCTATGCAGTCCTAACACACTAGGGTATCAACGCTGTTTAGTTTGGTTGACACCCTAGCACAGGAAGTAGGTTAATGGCAGGATTACCAGGTTAAAATTAAAGGGAAAAGTGTGGAAAAAAAAAAAAGGAATGCAACCACCACATCTAAGGACCAATAAGCTGCAATACTATCAACCTTTGTTCTTGGGTTTTAAAACATTTTAATTGTTGTGTGCTATGCTTGCCTGGATTTTAATTTGAAGGATGTCTTTAAGTAGTGTTTCCAAATGAACTCTGGTTATGTTATTATAATTATAAAATTGATGATGATTATGATGATGATAATAATGATATTTATGCAATAATGATAATGGTAATAATGATGATAATTAAGCAATAATGATGACAATGCTGATAATAATAATGCAATAATCAGGATAATAATAATAATGATAATATTGATAATAATGATGATAATAATGGGATGATGATGAGAAAAATAATAGAAATAATAATGCTAAAAAACCATATTAGTATTCATGGTATTGTCACAACATTTTTTCAGGCGCACCTTTAGACGAGTGCCACGTATAAAGTTGTATGGGCATCTGTGACAAATAAACTGTATATCGTCCCCTATTTCTCAAGTCATTGTGCTGCCTTGTTTTCTGCTGTGATGGATTATGAAAAAGATTGAGAGGACCTCGCTCTACTCTGGAGATCTAGTTTCACATTGTGTCCTTAAATGTATCCGAGCCACATTCAGTGATATTGGACTAAAAATATGCTGCGACAGCTGGACTGCTTTAAATGTGAACTTAGTCCCCAAGTCACACAAAGGAAACGGCGCACAAGGCTTACGCCATGCAGCCATATTAAATAAGAATAGCATCTTTTCCTTTCTTGCCAAAGATAGTAAAATTAACATGCAGCTGGCTTCTCTGATAAATGGATTCAGTTAGGTCACTGAGGGGATGCATGTGACACTAAGTGATTTACAGTGCTTTACCTTAATGAAATTGTTTCAGCGAGATGACGCTGAGAGCTTTTAATGGATGGCTTTACTTGATGTAATGAAATTGCTTTCTTTTGGCATTTAATATAAGGTGCAGTTATTATTTACAAGAGCCTTTTCTGCGCTACTGTCTCTGTGCAGAGCAGCAGAAGAGCAAGAGAGCAGGGTGCAGGAGAAGAGAAAGTGGAGGGGAAAGGCTGCTGGGTAGAGCGGCCTAAGCTTTGTACATCAGACAAGGTTGACTTCACTGAACCGTTGTGCTTGTCTTTTAAGTAGATCCTCCTAATCTGTTCACAGGCAACTGGATTTTAACCAGATCAGCTGCATTGAAGATGGTGCTTTCCGAGCTCTGCGCGACCTGGAAGTGCTGTGAGTACACGTCTAGTGTCTTGGCATCAGCAGCTTATGACGAGGGCAGCCTGTGTTTTTGTGTATGTGTGAGAGAGAGAGAGAGAGAGAGAGAAGAGAGCTCATCTGAGCCTGCTGGCTGTCATGTCACTGTCACTGCTCTGCAATAAATGTGCTTTTCTTCACTGCTGCATTGGCTAAATGTTTGGAACAAATATGAATTTCATGTTATGCTGCTAACTGTATGATTATCTCTCCTTCACATCTTGTAATTTTACTTCTCTTTAGCTGGCTGCTATTGAACATATGGTGGTGGTGCGTAGAGTGCAGTATCCCATAACAGCCAATCAGGTTCTACATTTCATGTCTAGAGAAGAGGGAACAGTGAATGATGATCACTGGTTGGCTGCTCTGAGTTGCTGCACTTTATGTTGGCCAACAACATCAACCTAGTTATATTTGATGATCATATTTATTTATGCATGTACACTATAACATCTATCTATCTATCTATCTATCTATCTATCTATCTATCTATCTATCTATCGTACTTGTCTGATTAAAATAAACAGAAAGATGAATAAAGATAGAAAATCAGACAAGTAAGAAATATTAAAATAAACAAAAAGATTGAAAATGATAGATAATCAGACAAGTATGATAGATATATAGCTTTACTCATCTTTCTGTTTATTTTAATCTTACTTGTCTGATTATCTGTCATTATCAATCTTTTTGTTTATTTTAATATTTCTTACTTGTCTGATTTTCTATCTTTATTCATCTTTCTGTTTATTTTAATCTATCTATCTATCTATCTATCTATCTATCTATCTATCTATCTATCTGTCTATCTATCTGTATATCTACCTGTTTATCATACTTGTCTGATTAAAATAAACCATAAGATTGATAATGATAGATAATCAGACAAGTAAAATAGATAGCTTTATTCATCTTTCTGTTTCTATCTATCTGTCTATCTGTTTATCTATCTATCTATCTATCTATCTATCTATCTATCTATCTATCTATCTATCTATCTATCTATCTATCTATCTATCTAATCCATCTAATCTATCTAATATTTCTAATCTATCTATCTAGTCTGTCTATCTATCTATCTATCTATCTATCTATCTATCTATCTATCTATCTATCTATCTATCTATCTATCTATCTATCTATCTATCTATCTATCTATCTCTATCGTACTTGACTGATTTTCTCTTTTCTTTCTTTCTTTCTTTCTTTCTTTCTTTCTTTCTTTCTTTCTTTCTTTCTTCCTTCCATCCATCTGTTTCTATCCCTTTCCCGCTACTCTCAATCCCTCCACTCTTCATGTTGCAAACATTTTCTGAAGTGTTGTAGCTAGGTTAAAGTCATATTTGTTCAACCTACAGCATATGTTTCCCATAACCATAAATCAGGTGGTTGAAAGCTGATTTCTGATTGGCCACTGTGGGTTACAACACACCCCTTTCTCATTGCATGATCCATTTAAATAATGTGACAAATACACTGGAGGGATGATGCTATGTCAGTAAATGGGTAACACATATTCAACTTGTTAATAATAGCCTTATAATGCATGTATGTACAAAATTGTATGTATTCATTTACACAGGTACAGGTGTGTATGTTTGTGTAATATATATATATATATATATATATATATATATATATTAGATTCTATAGCACCATCAGTATGCATAGTGCTCTTTAAAGTTGACTTTTTATAGTTCAACAACACTATATAGTCCATTACTCTAATGTGCCTAAATATTAAACAGGGGCATATCAACCATTTTAAAACAAATACATGTTATATGGCAGGGGGATGTGAAATTGGCCACAGGCAAGATTTGTGTTTTCCTTAACAAATTGGCCTTCCTGATTTGGCCTTATGAAATGAATCTTCTGATAGTTAGCATGGGACAGATGCTGAAATCAGTCTACAGGGATCTTTGCCTAATAGGCCAAAACTATGCAGTTTTCTTTATTAACCTAGAGGCATATAATTAGATCAGCCTACTCTGTCTTAAGTCTTGGCCTTTGGAAATTTAAAGTTTAAGCCTGGGTTCACATATATGCGGTGCAGTATATCGCATGGGATCCACACAGGAACTGTACTACATTCCTGTGCAAATCACATGCGATTTGTGTGCGGTATGATTGGAGCCATACATTTTGTATGGCTCTAATTGCACCGCACCCGCACCCACACCAAAAATGTGCAGGATCCTCTTTTTTGGTCCGCACTAGAATCAGATCGCATGGGTGTTCACACCTATGCAAACCAATTCTGCACATCGCAACCGCGTTTTGCTGACCGCTTTCAGGGTGTTGTTAACTTAACATACACACCCGCAGTGGTTCACATGAATGGGGTGCAATTCTGATGCGGTGCAGAATTCGCACAGAAAACGCTGCGCATTCCGGACCGCATCAGTGTGAACCAGGGCTGAATGTCCTTGCCTGGATACTAGCTATGAGACTAAAGTTCACACAACTGATAGGAAATAGTGACATGCCAACAAAATGAATGCTGAAACTAATTTTGTGTAGCTTTGAATTTCTACAGATATATATTTTTTATGAATATTAATATCCATAGTAATAAATTATTACATTTGAAAAGTCTTTTTTGCAAGGTCTTTACTGCTTAGCCTTGGAGGCCATAGATCCATTGGCGCAAAGAATTTTATTTATAAAATTACCTCTGGTAGATGGGTGAATAAGAAAACTGTAAAATTCATACAATTGCACCCATGAGTCCCTGCCGCTGAAGGAGCTTTCAGTCGTATGTGCCCTTACCACTATTTAGAGTAAATTAACCATAGCAAAAACATACCAGTCCATACAGATAGCGGCCATCGTGGGTTTCAGGAGTTGTAGTGAAAGACCGCTAAGCATTTAGCCACAATGCTGCCCACTTATTTATTTATTATTTATGTCAGGTAATTATATAGCGCTGTCAATTTACGCAGCGCTTTACACATATATATATATTGAACATCCACATTAGTCCCTAACCCTCAAGGAGTGTACAATCTAAGGTCCCTAACTCACATTCATACATACACATATTAGGGCCAATTTAGACAGGAGCCAATTAACCTACCAGCATGTCTTTGGAGTGTGGGAGGAAACCCACGCAAGCACAGGGAGAACATGCAAACTCCATGCAGGAGGCGCCATGGTCAGGAATCGAACCCATGACCCATTTACTGCAAGGCAGACATGCTAACCACTAAGCCACTTAAATGATAATGTAGCATAGTTAATATATATATATTTATCCTATTTATTAAATGTTCAAGGCTGGAAAAGTATTATCAGACTGACTGGGGTTGATTTACTTAAGGCAAATAGGCTCTTCAGTTTGCAGGGGAATTTTCACTTGTTTAAGTGAATGAGGTGAAGCTAAATTTCATCATCCAATCACGTGCAGGCAAAAATACTGTTTCCTTAATTTTATTTGCACAAGATTGGGTTTTCTTTGCAAAGTAAATTTTCAAAACATTCATTAAGGGAAACTCTCTTGAAAAGTAAACATTCCCTTGCAAAGTGAACAGCCTATATGCTTTAAATAATCAACGTGATTGTGTTATAATGTCTTCCTACATGCCTGGGTAATATTGTTATGTATAATATATAGGACTGGAGGACTATCTTAACTATTTTTCTGTCCCCATGTCTAGAAGGAACAACCTCTGTTCTTTTCCAGAGAGTGTAACTTTTATTGGATCCCAGTAACAGATGGCAAGTTCAACAGAGTATATAGAGAGTTATATAATCAAAATCCCAATGAGTCTCCTCAGTTATTCATTCTATAAAACTTTACCAAATATATGGACACTCCACACATGCAGCTTAATTGTCCATTCTACAAGGATTGTTTGAAAAAGTTTCTGCACTTTTTGAAAACTCTATTATATATAAAAGTGCTTAAATGTTTTGAAGACCATATATATATATATATATATATATACACACACACACGTACAGTATACAGTAAACCTTCCATACATGTACATAAGTCAATATAAACTGTACCTAGACCATTCCTTTCATCCTCCAATTTCCTCTCATATACTAAGATGTGGAGGAAACTAATACAAATGCCCCATAACCTACAACGAATACACTGATGTTTTGCTTGGTAAATGCAAAAAAATTTTTTTGGAGGCTACACCTTGCAAAAATTTGCAAAGATTTGTCTTTATTTTATCATGAACAGACTGGGCCCCAATGCATGTGATTCTTTCTTAATTTCTCGACACATCACACACATTGATTGTATAGTGTGTCATGTCAGCAATTATTTTACAACCTGTATTCTCAGCATATGTATGTGAATTAGCGAACGCTCCAAGCTTTTGAAAGGTTTTGTAAATTTGAGATGGAACGCTGCGGTTTCCAGAGCTCACATAAAACAATCTCAAGTTATGACTTATTTCAAGATTTATTTGCAAATATCATAATATAGTATGTTTCATATTGTATCTTGGTTTTGCCGAAGACCTGGATTGTTTTACGTTACACATATAAGCAATCCAAGCAAACCCCAAGAGTAAAATCCTTCAACGACCTTATCAAGCGATGGCTGAAATGACAAAATATGAGAAAAGTAAATTTAAACAATGGTATAAAGTGCTGTATCTAAAAACGCTTATTAAATTCATTTAATGTACAAAAAAGGGGTCCTATAATAGTAAAACATTTGGCTAGATTTTTAACAGATGGATTTTTAAGGGCTATAATTTAAGGACTGATTTACTGCACTGGAACTTTATTTGTGTTCAATATTAACACCAAACCAAATAAGAATATATATATATATATATATTTTTTTTTTAATCTTATTTAGAATGTATAACAACTACCCATTTTCATGTCTACCCCCAACACCACCCAAGAGAAGGGAATTTAGGTGGAATAAGATTGTAGAAGTTTGTTTCCTTTTTTTTAATTATTACTGTAGGAATGACTAGTCATATCAGTCCCTGGCCAAGAGAGCTTGCAATTATTTAAGCTACCAATGTATTTTTGTAACTCCAATTTTACCAGAGTTTAAACCTTAAGCTTCAAATTAAAATACATTTTACTTTGTGTTTATGTCACCTTGAGTTTTAGGAAAATATATTTAAAAGCAAGCACCTCAAGTACTCAAACTGCCAGAAATTGTTTCATGATCTAGTTAAGTTTGGGTGCCATGGGAGACCTTTAGTGCTTTAATTTTTGGCTTCAGTAATAAACTGTGCTTGGAAATATTTTTTTTTTTATTGTTGACAGCTATGGTGTTCCAGTACTGCATTGCAGCTCAAAACAGACTACCCTATAGCGCTCAACCCAGTCGTAAAGATCACTATATACTTGTGAGACAAAAGAGGAGCTTACTGGGTGTGTCCAAAATGGCGGCACAGGTTCCTTTGTACAGTAAAGCGGTATCTGCATTGCCTCACTGTAATTGGCAAACACCACACAGTCAACACATTTCTCCCTATATTTACTTATGAAATCTCACTGTTTTCGTAAATGGGTTAGCTTTTTCAAAGCTTCAGATGAGGAAAAAAAATGGAGAAAAATAATGAAATAAAGTTGTTTATGTAGATCTGTGGGATTGTTCTGAAGTTTGGTTTGATAATGAAGATTTCTCATAGTTTTTTTTTTGTAATATGAATTACATACATAATGTCAGAATAACAGTTGAAAAAAAAAAATTTTTCACCCCACCTGCCCCATTTTGCCCATGGTATTCCTGTCTGTAAATTATTTTTTGGGATTACTGCCACAAAAATTGCTAACCACTGAACAATTCTTCATGTATGACATGTTAACATTTGTGTCTTCCTGTATATTAAAAAATAACTGATCCTCATCTCACCTTAACAAAAAATGGAGACATGTGCCACTTAACCAGTAGCCTGCAGAGATTTGAGATGAACTTCTAAAAGTCATCCAAGTTCAAATGACAAGAAAACTTTTATGCGGATTTTTGGGTTCTGATGAAATTTTGCAACTTCAGTGATGGCAACTGAATATAAATGTGCGGTTTATGGTGACTGCACCCACTGCGGCAGTAGTAAAATTCTGCTGACGTTTGTGGGAGGAGCCATGGTTGAACATAGGAAGATTGGAATATTCTAGAAATTCTGAAGGGCGTCGAGCCTTGATAAGCGCCAGATCCTTTCACATTTTTGTTGCACACTCTGCTTCTCCGGTTGAGCGGATGGTTCTTTCGCTGAACCACCCTTCTGCATCACCATTCTTACCGATCCACATCTGAATTGTCTTTCTAAAATGTCTTCAATTTCAGGCAAGTTTGTGCGCTTTTATACTATGCATGCTTTAATTTTAAATGGTCTTTTTCTTACTTTTTTATTTTAATTGTGGCTGGTGGCTAAGGCAGTTAAAATCTTTTTCATCATTAAGCATTTTCTATGTTTAAAGGTGTTACATAATGTGGTGATGGATTCTTTTACTATTTTGTACTTGTTAATTTTCTTTCATTTATTGAATTAGGGATTGTACTTTAGTATCTCTAAAGCAAATATGAAACTCAAAATGCTTGCGTTATTTAACGGGAAAAGACAAGATTTTGACAGCTAATATACTGACTTTAAATGTCTTTAGCTGTAACTGGTTTGGTCTGAGAGTTGAACCAATGTTGTTTAATATTGCATAGAAAGATTAGAAAAAAAAAAATATATATATACATTATAAAACATTTTTTTATTTAGATAACATATCACCTGAACCCTTGAGTCATATAAGGGGACTGTGTTTTTCTAGCTATGAGGATTTTTTTCAGAGGTGTAGGTACCACTAAAGTATACATTTGATAAATATGTGTCTTTTTAAAACCTTAGTAACTATGTACTTATTTTTCTTTCCCTTCAACATCAATTTGAAATAAAGGCACATTTGCTAAGCTTGTATTTCTCATATATAGCTTATTAAATCTTTCCTTCATGGTGCCAAAAAGCCAACCTTGTTGGTTTTGTTCTACCATATTTAACTTATCCTAATATCAGATGTGGTAGTGGCCAAGACTAAATGAATTTTTAAAGCAGGTTGATGTTGTTCCTAATAGAAATGGCTTATATTATAAATCTATAATACGAATTTAGCAGAAGAGCAGCAGATCCAGAAAATTATTCTTAATATTAGAATCAAGGAGAATTTTCCCCCAACTGTGGTGACTTTTGGATTATTGTTTCCCCTTCCTTCTGTTTTCTACCTTCCTCCAGATTAGCGGTATTATTTATTAGTATATTTTAAACTATGTGAACAATGTTTGTTTTTTTAAACTTACAAAATATGGAACCCAGGTTTTGTGGAAACTAGTTGAGGTTTGAGAACAGCCAAGTTTTACTAGCAATTTTTCTTAGTAATGCTTCCGTCAGTCTATTGCCAACCTTGAATTTCAAGTCAACATTAATGTGAAGAGGAAATAATGTGTGATGTGCTTTAAGACTAGATGTAGGAGTCTTTGTGACCCTTCTGTGACTTGCTGTACCCACAATGCAGTTCACTGTAGTATGCCTACATGGCACTGTTACCAAGCGCAGTATTAATTGGGTTGTACTGCAGTTTTCATTAGCAGCACATTAAATAAGTGGAAACTGCCTGTGGGAAATGCAATGCAGACGTTCAAATGTTTCAGACTACTCCAACGGTATTTTTAGTTAAGGTTCATTGCAGTTAATATTGTTCCTGTGCACGATTATACATTGCCAGGGAAACATGTTGAACAGATTTTTCGAGCAATAAAGTTTACGCTGTCAAAAAGAAAATATGCAGTCATATTACAAATCCTGCTGTTGCCTTTGGTGATCTAACTTCTTTGCTTTCATGTTTTACAGTACCCTCAACAATAACAATATCACCCGACTTTCAGTGGCAAGCTTCAACCACATGCCAAAACTGCGCATTTTGTAAGTAGATTTTTATTAATGAATCTCCTGTATTTGTGTTGCTCTGAGAAAGAAAAATCATATTTTGCTGTGTTTAAATAGATTATAACATCACTTGAAATCTTTGTCTTGGGAAACATCTGCTTTCATTAGTAAAATCTCATGTAAAGCATACAGAGAAGCAATTTTTTAACCAAAAAGATAATTTAGCAGTTTCTTGTGTGTGTAAGTAAATGTAAAAAAATAAGGAACTTTATAATATATAAAATAGCCGTAATCCTAAATCTAGAAGGTAACAGCTTACATTTTTTTTTTTTTTCAAAAGTTCGTTGACAGTAGATCAAAAACCCAGCAAGTAATCAGTAGGATTTTTACTGTACAACTAAACATCAGAAAGTTGAAAAAATTTTTAAATCTCTCTGTGCAGAAATATATGTAAAGAACAATGAATAAAAAATACTCTTCATATTTAATGAACTGCAGTTATTTGGAGAACAGCCAGATATCCTGTCCCTTGTTGCAAAAGAAGAAAGATTTCTTACTTTCTAAATCTTTAATACATACTGAAACAAATATCAGCACATGCATCTGTCTCTCTCTCTATACTGTTAGTAAAGTCCAGTCCATAGTTGCCATATTTCAATATTTTGACTGTTTGAAGTGAACACCTTAGTTTGAGTACCTTTAGCTAAGCACTTCAGTAGTGGTAGACACCGCAAATAGATATTGCACTGTTTATACTTTTTAAGTATCATTTCTGAATTTTTTTTGGCATAGACAAACTGTTCTATAAGGTCATTCTAAGCACAATGATTATGTGAAAAAATACAGAAACTCATAGCAGCTGTGCAACAATTGTTTCACTGAGTTGATTACAGTATATTGAAATCTGGTTGATGGGCTAGTACACTTTGCACATCATACCCAAATGAGTTTTAATAAGACAAACTGTGCTGCTGAAAAAAACATCCTTTTTAAATTAATGAAATAAGGGTGATACATAAAAAAATCTAGGTGTGATTTGATGGAGTTAACAAAAAGGGGAGAGAGTTACTAAAACTGGAGCACTTGGAATCTGGAGCAGCTGTGCATAGTAACCAATCAGCTTCTAACTTCAGCTTGTTCAATTATGCTTTGAGAATAAAGCCTAGAAGCTAATTGGTTACTATGAACAGCTGCACCAGATTCTGAGTGCATCAGTTTTAGTAACTCTCCACCAAAGTGTCCCTTCACATCCCTCTTGTACCTTCTGCACTTTCATTATAAGACCAACCAAAGCCTTTTGTCCCAAGCCATTAATGCTTAGTAAAGACATCCCAAATCCACAGCACCACTCCAAACTCCAGTACCTCTTAAAGGTCATAGACCATCCAGGTGCCGACTCCTGTAGCCAGTTTCCGTTCCAACATGAGAATGTAAGAAGATGAGAGTTGCATGTCATAATTAGCTCATATACTCTGTTAGCAATAAAGTGGCTGCATACATATAGTTTCTATCCAGGAAACCAAACTCCCTAAATGTGTTTTACCTCTATGGGCTTGTTCACAAGGATAGATTAGGTCACTTACTTGAGACTTGGCATTGTCTGTAAATGTGACCCATTGCTGTGATTATATACTTGAATGTTCCCATTTTATCCAACACCCTCAAATGCTGATGAATACCTGAGAACATTATTGTGGACAATATCCACTTTGCCACACAGAAATACAAAACATGAGCGGTGATACTTTGTAGGAGACTAGATTTCTTTAAGATCCTAACGTGATTCATAAACTGTCTCCTCTGCTGCTGAAACTTAGCTTTGCCTCAGTATAAAACATGCCCCGACCACTTCTTAGGCATATGTCAGTTTTATATGCACAATGGTCAAAAATGGAAAGATGAATCAGATGCAGGTACTGTTGCAGAACATTGTCCTGAATTAAATAGATATGCACAAAATATTGCAATTCCTTTGCTTAATACAAGGCATTGATTAGTGCCTGATTTTGGCTGTACCCCAAATATAAAAAGAAAATGAATATAAATGCATTTGAGTTCAATCCTCAGGATCATTTCATGTGTACCTTTATGGTTATGCAACCCTGACTGTATATTGAAAATATTTCAACCCTTTATCAAATCCTACTCTGGTCTTTGCTAAACTTTCCTTTTCTGTGTGGCAACCCTGAAGAGATGTATTTTCTACTTAAATAAGTGCATTGACATACTAGGTATTTCACATTTCATTTAAGGGCATAGACAGGCTTTGATTGGCTGTCACCTATGATAAATAGGAAATCTTTACTCTTATTACTGTACTGCAGCCAGACATAATTAAACAGAACTGGCTCTTTGACAATCTTTGTAAAATGAAATTAGCTCTAGAGATGGAGCGGTGTATTTTAGTACCCATTAAAGTTGGTTAGGACAGAGGGCATCAGCTTAGCAAATGAGTATTACTCGGGAAAAACTATAGAAACACAGATGCAGTGTATAACTAAGCTTTTATATTTCTGCCTCTAAGCCAAAACACAAATTTCCATGAATAAAGGAACTTTTAGTTGTATTCACAGAAATAAAAGATGAAGAACTAGAGAAAGTCCACATTTTATTAGCTTTTTCCTTTTTTTTAGTTTACTGCAATGTACTCAGCAGAAATTATAAATACAGACTAAAGGGAAACTTAGGATGGCCATATATAAATACCAAAGAAGACATTCAGGTCAGGATCAGGCTACTCCAAGGGGCGAAGTTGAGCACTTCTGATTTTTGGAAACCCTCAGTATTAATTTCAAGGCAGATCTTTATGACTTTTAGTGAAAAAGAATGAAGGTGTTGTACATGTGGCATGAGTTGCATAGGAAAATAGGGTAGTGGTGCTATAGAGACCAGGGAGATGTTCTCTCATAGAGAGAAGTCAGTCTATGCCTAGCCCTATGCTTATGTAAAAAGTGTTTAGCAGGACAAAAGCAAATGCCACAAGTAGCCTTGGTGTACAAATAACATTAGTTGATATGTATTTGTGATCAAACTTTGCAAGCCTATGTAGAGTGAGAACACTGACAATTCCATATTGCTGTATGTCTAAATTTTGCTGCACATGAGTTTAGGACTGACAAGTCTTTCTGGTTAATGCCTGATTTGCCAGTTATGTTTCAGTAAACTAGTAGAACCTTGTTGGAGGCTTTTTTTTTGGTCTTTAGAAATGAAGATCATGATTGGGTAAATAAAATGTTTTCTTGTCTTTGGTTTCCTCCTTTTCAAAGTCCAGTCCTTGGGTACACCTACAGTTTTTGGAGAAAAATACTGTCGACCAGGTGGCATATAAGAGTGTCTGCTGAACTTATAGATATAATACAAGCAAGCATGTTTATGCACCAGTCTTTATTATTATTATACAGGATTTATATAGCGCCAACAGTTTGCTCAGCGCTTTACAATATAACGGGAGACAATACAGCAACAATACAGTTCAATACAAGAGGGTTAGGAGGACCCTGCTCCTTGGAGCTTACAATCTAGGAGTCTTCTAAAATATTCTACTTTACAACGTCTATGGCAAGATTTAGTTCAGTATCTTTAAATGGAATTATTGAATAAACAAGCAGCTGCATTATCACAGTATCTCTGTCTTGCAGTCAGAGGTTTATCATGAACGCCTTCTATTTTGGTCATCTTAAACTTCACATTTATTTTAGTGAAGGGTATTGTTAGCTCTTTTCTACATCAAAACTTTGTTTTTAGATTTATTGTCCCACTTATAAAAATAAATAAATAAGTAAATGAAAAGTTGTCATACACCAATTTAGCAATTACCATGAATGTTTTATTATTGTTCATATGCTTTAGCTAGTTGGAATCGAGCCATGATCTTGTGCTGACCTGCCCATTTTCGGAGTAACAAACTTAATTCCTCTTTGTGTTGCCATTTCCATCTTTCAATTTCAGACGTTGTATTGAGCTTGGGTCCCGAGGGGCCAAAAGCAACTAATCCCCTTTTCTTTGATTAAACAAAAAAGAGAGGAAATCAGAAAAAAGGATACAAGGGGGGTGTTTTATATTGAATTATTTTTCTTGCCTTGTTCAGTTGAAAACGAATGTGACCTGTTAAAAGGATTTTGCAGGCTGTTTCTATAGAGACTAATAAAGCAAGACTTAGTGATATTTCTAATTGGGAGCCAAATCTTTTATGGGTCTTTTTTCACTCTTGCTGTCAGTATACTCCCCCTATAGAGCAATTTACTTCAGATGTGTTTTGTCTTTTTTTTTTTTTTCTTTTTAACCCCTGCTTTTGTTACAGTTTTTTTAGCTTCTGAGTTCGCAACTGTTTTCAAGCTCCTGTATGTTTTCCTAACCAACTGTAAAGAAACAATGCTAGATGTGGAGAGATTGCATTTTTATGTTGGCAAACACTGTTTTTTTCTGCCTTGAAAATAAATTAGTTTTGAAAGGATTTGTAACAGATAAGTTGGTAAACAAAGAAATGAAAACAAAAGTGGTGAGGATTATAAAATTAAGCTTTTTAGTTTTGGATCAATGGGCGCTGCATAGACTAGTCTGAAGCAGTAAATATCTGAAGTGCAAGAGTACAAATGATCAAACTTTTTAAAATCCATCTTCAGTGGTTGATGGCCATATTTTATTTGCCCCTTCTTGAAGATTACCATTATAATGCCAAGAGGCAGCGATGCCCTCACTGTCTTGTTGAGGAGAAAATCCCCTTTGTAAATGTATTGATACCTTGCTTGCCACTTCTTTGTGCCATGATATTTTTATGTGGTTTTTGAGTGAGGTGTCTTTTTTTTAACATTAGTAAAAAAATGAAAAAAAAAAGGGTAACCACTCCAGGTCCTGTTACATTAGATCACATAGTAGTAGATAGCCAAAAATAATCCAAACTTCAACAAACCAAAGCAGTTTGTTTTAGATCTTGACCCATGAAAGCCAGTTTGCTAATCTGCACTATATACACAAGCCAAATGCTAAATCCAACCCATATTTCGGTGCCGCTTGCAATAAGTTTTTTAGTGTGCACTTAGTTAACAGGTAGTTGTTTTGAAATAGCTATCATTCTTGGATAATGTGCATTGTGCTAGCAAATGTCCACAATTTGAGCATAAAATCAATAGGATAATAGCACTTTGCAGGAAAAGGAAAAATTCCTTGACTTCAAAGGTGTAATATAGTAAAACCGCATGGGCAAATTCTGACCCCTGGGGAACCATGCACTCTTCTCCATACATTAAAGCGTGTCTCTAGCGACTACAATTTTCTCAGATTTTTTTTGCATAGAATGATGAAAGGTTAAAACATCTGTCCATTTTTATTGCTGTATTTGTCCCCGCTGGGAGGGGAAATCCTATATTTTACGGTTGTCACCAAAGGAGAAACAGATGGGAAATCTTTAAATGGGGACAGCTGTTCTGGTAACCTCTGCTTAAGAGGGGATTTCCCTTCGCTATGGAGAGATTTCTGCTATGTTCCTGTTGTGTTTTTGGGACAGGAAGTGAGGAGAAGCCTCTCCAATGGGACATAGACAAAAAAAACAAGTGCTAAAATAGATTTTAACCTCTCCCTACACTATTCAAAACTACGATACACATTAGAACGTCTGGTTTGAAATTGAAAACTACACCATGCCCTGATACTGTCAAGCAGGCAAATTAGGGATGTTAAAGTCAACTACTGGTGGCAACATGCCTTGGTGGTTATGTGAAGAATACACAAATACTGGGTATTTTATGATATGCACCACAAGTACCCAGTGTATGCATTGACATTGATTATGTCATACATTGACATAAAGTTTTTACAAAATGGTCAATTTCTTTTTTCTATAGTCGACTTCACTCCAACAACTTATACTGTGACTGTAACTTGGCCTGGTTATCAGACTGGCTGCGGCAGAGGCCCCGTGTTGGCCTGTACACTCAATGTATGGGACCTACCCACCTGAGAGGACACAATGTGGCTGAAGTTCAGAAGCGGGAATTCATATGTAGCGGTAAGGATGTTTTATGTCAATGACATTGCTTATATTCTTTATCATTAAATAAAGGATGTGATCAAGCCTTCTGAAAGACTTGATCAGGATAAAGCTGCCTTATGTGGCTCGATTTTTTTCTCACACAGCCCACAAACTAAACAAAAGAAAATTAGTTGATTCCCCATCCACACTAAATAGCATAGATGGAAGAATCTCCACTCCTGGCTATTGTACTGTACCCATGGCTGTCTGAATACCCAAACAATGAAAAGAGGTAAACACTATTGAGCCAATAATTTTCCACCCGCTCTGTCAATTTTTAAATGGACTTTTGGTACTTGCGTGACCATCCATGACTCTAAATTTGAGCCATTGATGGGGGCCGTGACCCATTCATGAGCAGCCAGGTTATCAAAGTCAAAATGCCATTTCAATATGCACTGGCTAACTTGACAATAACTCGGCAAAGGGTTCGGATCTAAATTGTTTTCACATTTGCTTCAGAAATATGAGGCTCTCTTTTGTTGCAGTGCTGTAATAAAAGCCCTTCATATATTTTTATTATAAGTTGAAAAATTGATGAAAACATCAAAAGAATGCCCTTTTTTTTACAATTGTGACTATTCGACATTATTACATCCATATATACATGGTCATATTTATCCTGATTACAAGTAGATCAAATATGTGTAATTTTTTATGGCAATGACACTTCTGTATGGTCTGTTACCTCTATTTAGTAAAATTGATTTACATCTTAATAATATTAATGAACCATATTAATCATTAATTTACCTAATTAACAAAATAACCTACCTTAATCATTATCTGTCGAAATTAATCCAGCATACCTAAGAAAAAATCTAAAGGGCATAGGAGATATTCAGGAAACAAGTTACTAAAGTTGTAAAGCAAGTGATATTTTTCATTTTATCACCATACCAAAGGGTCACTCCCTTTCTATATCAATGAATCTCCTTGAACAGCTGAAATTGCTGTTACACCCAAAAGGGAGAGATAGTAGTGACACAACTGGCTGTAAATGTTTGTTAGTCAAACGTTTAATTAATCATAATGATTGGCTTTGATGATGATCATGTAATCAGGAACCACAGCTATTTGTAACCAATCTTTAATCTGAGACCTGAGGATCTCAGCTACAGAATTTTCAAAGGCCTATATAACTTTGTGTACAAAAGTGCACTGCTAGGTCAAAGTTGAAACCATTGTAGAGAAGTGTACCTCTAAGTGACTATTGATGTGCTTTCAACAGGTTCTGCAAAAGGCTAAAAAACATAAAAAAGGCATTAAGTACAGGTGCCGTTACAAGTCAACTTTATCTGATGATAAAAATGGAACATTAAATATTTGCTATTGCCGATGGCTGGGCACTCACAGAATTTTGAGATGAGGAATAAAGATACATTAGAGTTTCATTTAGGTGACTAAAGTTTATCAGGGCTTGATAAAGGTGGGCTGCACCCTACCAAAAGATCAGTCACTTAAATAAAACTCTGATTCATCTGTTGCCAAAAACAATAAAAAACAGTACCACTCAAAATGCCCCCCCCAAACCTGTGTTAATTGGATCAGCATGTGAATAGACTGATGCAAGACAGGTAGGGATCGACTTGTCATTGACTCCCTGTTGCATAAATGTGAATGAGATGGGTAAACAATGTCCTTAGCTCCTGTTCTCCACCTATAGAGAACTCCTCAGACACGTTTCGCCCTTTTCAAGGCCTAATCATAAAGACATCTGAGGAATGCCCATCTCATTCACATTTATTCAGCAGGATGCTGCTGTCTGTGTGCAGATGGCTACCATTTCATTGAAGTCTGTACTGCATGCTAGAAATCGTATTAGTGCTCAACCACCTCCAATTGCATAATATATGTGTATATTATATACCAAAAAAAATGTTTAATATAAATTTAAAATTGGCAGAACCCAATGATAAGGCTTACTCTTTATAATACAATAGTTTTGACTTGAAAATCAAAGTTAGATAAACTGAATTTTAAAAAAGTTCCATGAGGGATAAAGTAGAACTGTTATTTCTGTGCTAATAGTCAGTTTTTCCGATTTTGCATTTGGCAGGTAAGTGTCTTAGACATTGCTTGACTGTTACCACATACCCAAAATTAATTAGATTTTTTTTAGAAGAATATTAAGCAGAATGAAGTTCTATTATTTGCATTTGTATTTATCAAAACATACCATTGAACTGAATGGTGCCAATAAATTCTGCAACTCTTTACAGAGAACATTTGATGGAATTCTTTCACCTTCTGAATAACAGACATTGGCATATCAACAAAGAAAACAATTTATTGACTGTGTTTTCTTTTCTTTTTTTGTACATAACTTTCAGATGAGGATGAAGGCAAGTTATTTTTTTTTTGTCTTCCTCAATTTCTGCCCTTCACTTTGTTTAAATGACTTTATTGTAATTGGGACAAAGGAAAGTGGTGGTGGTGCCAATAACAGGCAGTCAGGTCTAAAGAGAACCACTCAAGAATCTAAATATTCAGACTTACATTATCATACAAGTTGCATTTGTTAGATTTGGAGCACAGTAAGGTTTTATTGGCTGTAATTGTTCTCCTTCCAGAGCCTGAATGTGAATGTGCAGGGGACTAACAGAATGTAGTACAAGGATACTATTTTGGAACGAGATCACGTTTGGGGCTTTTATATCAGTCTTAATTTACATTACGACTTCAATTTAGGATGGCTGTAAGACACTCTTCTGCCAGCTGCCTGATTTCATATCGATAACACACACACCTGATTGTGTATCATATACCAAATGGGAGGAATGTACACAACTTCCAGGCTCTGTTATAGTTACTTAGAAGTTGGAAGACCATGTGTATTATCAGTTCAGGCAGTTAACAGACCAGCAACTGCAAAAGAAAATCATCCTCAAGAGCATGGATGGAGGAATCTGCACTGCCGGCTCTTACATTCAGCAGCCTAGGCACCCACATCTGTTTGAATAGAGTAGAGCTGCCGAACACCAACTGCATTTGGATAGGGTGGTTCTTGCAGGGACAGCTACTGCTCCAATTTCAGCTGATTTAGCAGGAATCCAGCTTTACTTGGGTAATAAAAGAGACTTTTAAAGAATGAAGCAGGAAAACTAATAGCATATGTAAATATATTAACAAAATATATAAAATAAATTCTAGAGAAAAAAATCAATAAAAATTGTTTTTACAATAACCTATTTACAAAATATTAAACCTAAAACATTGTATCAAGCTAAAACCTGAATATTGGTCATTAAATAAATAGGATGTTTGAAAGAAACACAGGCTGACTATGGTCATTCACACTATAGCTATGGAAAGCAAGCCTTAGGCTACTTTCACACTGATCCGTGTTTTTACCACATTTGCAGTGCGTTTTTTTTTTAACCACTTGCCCTCCAGAGGATTTAACCCCCTTCCTGACCAGGCCATTTTTTGTGATACGGCACTGCGTTACTTTAACTGACAATTGCGCAGTCATACAACGCGGCACCCAAATTAAATTTACATCCTTTTTTTTTTTTAACCACAAATAGAGCTTTCTTTTGCTGGTATTTGATCACCTGTGTGAGTTTTTTTTTGTGCTATAAACAAAAAAAGGCAGACAATTTTGAGGAAAAATAAAAATATTTTTGACTTTTTGCTGTTAAACATGTCCAGTAAAAAAAAAAAAAAAAAAATTTCAATGGGGATGTGTGTTTTTGGTGCATTTTTTTACCGCACAAATCTGCAGGAAGCAGGATTTTTAAAACTGCATCGGACCTGCAATGGATCAGTGTGAAGAGTTCCATAGGAATACATGGTTACATATTTGTCTTCTGCTTTTTTCAACACAAAAGTAGAAGAAAAACAGATTAGTATGAAAGCAGCCTTACTGGTGGTTTTCCACAGCATTGATTGACCAAAAAGGCCCCTGCAATTCAGTTCAAAACTGAAGCATGTCTCATTTAATGCAAACTGTGACTTTAAGACCTCACCAAAAAACACACTGCAGGTGCATTTTGATGCCTTTTTTTAATTGATTTTAATGGGGAGGTGTGTTTTTGGTGCATTTTTTTTACCACACGAAACCTGCACCAAAAATGCAACAAGCAGGAATTTTAAAAAAAGCACCACACCCGCAACAGATCATTGTAAAGAGTTCCATAAGAATACATGGTCATATGTTTTTCTTCCATTTTCTTTAACACAAAAGTGGAAGACAAATGGGTCAGTGTGAAAACACAGTATTGTTTGACCGCAAAAGGCCCACAAAAGGCCCCAGCAATTCAGTTGTTCAAAACTGAACCATGCCTCATATTATTGCAAACTGTGTTTGAAGGTTAGTGTCTTTTCAGGTGACTCATCACAAAAAAGCATATAAGCAGAAATGGATCCTTACCTTTTCCTATATTACCCTTTAGATATTGTCAAAGTGTCCAATGAAGTGTTATATGTAGATGAATAATGCGATCTTTCAATTATTTTGGCAGGTCAGCAGTCCTTCATGATTTCTTCTTGCAGTGTCCTGCACTGCCCGGCTGCCTGCACCTGCAGTAATAACATTGTGGATTGTCGAGGAAAAGGATTGACTGAGATCCCTACCAACCTGCCTGAGACCATCACAGAAATGTAAGACATACTGACATCTTTGTATCTGCTAATTTAATTTATTTTTAACTGGGAAGAATATCATACAAGGAAATTAGAATGTTACTTCTCCAAGCTGGTCCACTGAAATTAGAATGTTACTGCTCCAAGCTGGTCCACTCATGCTCGCAGTAGTCCTTGGGTGCAGATCCAGCTTGTCACTGAAGCATCTATGATTAGCAAACACTAGGTTAATGGCACTCCAAAACTGATGCAAATTCCTTAACTTCATACTCTGATTAACTGCTGGTATGTGTGAAACGAGTTGCAGATTCTACCCACTTGCTGTATCCTGTTTCCTATTAAATAAAGCTTATTACAACCATTTTTGGAGTGCCATCAACCTTGTGTTTGCTAACCATAGGATATTGTACAGACTGACATTCCAAGAATCTAAGTATCTCTAATGTAATGGTATCTCTAAAGTACTGGTAAAATAACAGCAGATGTGAGATAATGTACAGGATTACTCAGTAAGGCAAGAAGCCAAGTGGCCAATTCCAACCAATCAAATTTCAGTTTAATGCAATCAGTTCAGAGTAATAAAAGGTCTGTTTGGTTGTTATGGGTTAATACATTCAACCCATTGTTGATTTCCTTGCTGAATAAATTATCACTTTATTTGTAGAATGACACTAGGTTGAATGGCAACACATGAACAGCCCCAACTGCATCTTGGGAGCAGAGCTTTTTTTCACAGTTTGGACCTGCTTAGCTTAAGCTGGCCATACCCTAGTAGATTCTCAAATAAACATTTATGTTAATATTTGTGCAAAAATTCTCATTAGTACATTCATAGTTACATACAGTATAGTCCATCCAGTTCAACCTGTGTGGGTGTGTCTTTATGTCAGTATAATTTACCATACCCCTGTTTGTTGCACTCACTAAGATACCCAGCTAAGAGATTTAACGATTGACAGTTCCTGCTGAAAACACTGATTGTGGAAGGGAGTTCCATATCCTTACTACTCTAACAGCAAAGAACCCCTACACATTTTCATGGAATGGCCACATGTTTTCTTAAGCTCCCCTGAAACTGAATAGTTTTCTTCCAAGCAGGGATCACCATTGAGGTAGTAGTATATCGCTATCATATTTCCTCTCAAGCGTCTCTTCTCAAGGAAGAATACGTTTTATTTTTTTTTAGTCGTTCCTGGTAACTGAGGTCCTCCAGTCTCCTTATTAGCTTTGTTGTCCATCTCTGAACTCTGTCCAGTTCATTCAATGACTTGATGAACGTCATTGCATGTAAAATCCAAAAGTCTGGTTGTACCCAAGTTGATCGATAGACCAACTTGGGTACATTCAGCCTGCCCATACATGGTTAGAATCTCGGACAGTCCCTGTTGAACCAGGCGAGATTCGAACCATCTATGGTTGTCTTTAGGCTTTAGAGATTCCATGTACAGCAGCCAGACCTCTGAAGGTTTACCTGGCAGCATGGAGACCATACAAGCAGAGAAAAGGTTGTAGATTTTCTGAAATTGCATTGGGATTATGTAGCCAATTTAAATACAAACAGTGCTTAGTGGCGTTCTTTAAATAACTGTGAAGCGTGGGAAAATATAAAAGAAAGGTTGCAAGAGAGGTATGTGAGGGATTTGACCCATGTGCGAGTGATCAAAGGACAAGCTCTTCACTGTAATGTAGTTTCTGTTGACATGCAGTCAATATAAACTGCAGTAATCACTGAGATGTAAAACAATCTAGTGGCTGATTCTCATATCCCAGGGGAGGATTAAACAAATCTTCTATGTAACTCAGCTGTGAGGAGATGCTGGACAGGACAGTCCAATGATCTCCTCTCTTGCCCTCCCCATATGATTGGTCCTTGAGCAGCCCAGGGGTTAAAATGGAATTCTGCTAAGCAAAAACAAAGAGAAAACCTAAATGTCAACCAAAGATCACTGTTAGTTCAATTTCCTTCTCTGCTTTGGATTATGTGGCCCAGATGGTGCATCCTGCAGCTTCCAGTAAAGGCTGTGAAGTGATTTTATTAAAGTGCCTTTGATTCAGCTGCTTAGTAGTCAAGTGAATTTCTGTGGACAAAGAAGAGCCTTAAGCGGTGTGTCTGCAGAGAGATAGAACATCAGCAGTCACAAGTGGATGCTCTGAATGTTTAATACTGGGGCCATTCAGCCTCAAAACAGCATATAATGTGGACCAACATGTCGCTTATCAGGGATTCTTTATCCATCTACTTTATTGCCTCTATCTCTGTGCAGGCATATACAGAGACAGTCTGTCTTAGTTTACAAGGTAACGTTTTATGGAGTTTATGGAGATTAGCAAGGGACTGTTCTGCCTTTTGCTGCATTATATATTCATTAAAGTGTTATGTGATGTGCAGGAGACATTTACGAATTGTCATTATTTTTACATGGGTCTATCATAATGCAGGGGTGTGCTTTGCTTAATGCTGCGGTAGCTACGGTACATTTGCTGTGTTTTCATTAAAGCCAAACTTCAGGCAGTTATAAAAGACACAAATGAATGCAGCTAGGAAATAATGAATACATTATTAAATGTGAATACCAAACATATTAAAAAGTTATATAATTTTTATTTAGTATTGTTAAAAAGAAAAAAAAGGAAAAAATACAGAAACATAAAACAATTTCAGTACTAAAACTGAGATTCAAACTTGATTATATAATTGTAGTTACTCCCTACATGTTTCGCCCTAACGGGCTTCTTCAGGGAAGATTTTTAAAGAGATTTTAACTGCCGAGGCAGTCTAAAGGTATCTCAAAAAGAATTATACAATTACCAAACAGCTTTAATATATCCAATGCAAAGTATTAATAAAATATATATATATATATATATATATATATATATATATATATATATATGGGACTCAATGGCTCACCCTGGATGTAAAAGCTCACAGAGCTAAAAGGAAATAACCTATCAAAGATTACGTTCTCTGAAAGGTTATTTCCTTTTAGCTCTGTGAGCTTTCACATCCAGGGTGAGCCATTGAATCCCATATCTATATTTGATTAATACTTTGTATTGGATATATTAAAGCTGTTTGGTAATTGTATAATTCTTTTTGATATACCTTTAGACTACCTCAGCGGTTGAAATCTCTTAAAAAATCTTCCCTGAAGAAGCCCATGAGGGCGAAACATGTAGGGAGTAACTACAATTATATAATCAAGTTTGAATCTCGGTTCCACTTTTAGTACTGAAATTGTTTTTATGTTTCTGTATTATTTCCTTTTATTTGTTTTTAAAAATACGAAATAAAAATTATATATTGTTTTAATATGTTTGGTATTTACATTTAATAATGTATTCATTAATTCCTAGCTGCATTCATTTGTGTCTTTTATAACTGCCTGAAGTTTGGCTTTAATGAAAACACAGCAAATGTATGTTTGGCATTCATGTTCATGCACCTTGAGAGTCCATCTTCTCTATTGAATATTCACAATTTTAAAGGATGTGGTACAATAATCATATCTTGCTCGCCACTTTATTATTACTACATTATTAAATGTGTTTTTTTAATACAAGAACTGTAAGTACCTGAATTTGATTCATCGGCCTCTTGTGGTCCACTGTACAGTGGAGCTCTGACTGCTAAAGGGAGAAGCAGAACAAGAAGCATATCAGTTGTGCATGTGTTCTAACAAGGAACATATCTGATAGCAGAGAGCAGAATGACACAGAGATGAGCATACTGGTCTGGTGCTTCGAGTGCCGGATTTATAAGGAGGCAAAAGAGGCAACTGCCCTGGGCCCACTAACCAAAGGGGCCCCTCCCTATACAAATATAATATAGAACAATACAAAAAATTATAGAAAATAATTAAAAATAAATAATAATCCAATAATATAAAATATACACTATAATAATAAATATTGCTTTCTTTTATAACATTTATCTTGAGAAATAATATTTTTCCTGCATTCGTCTGTGAAAGTTTTTTCTCTGGACTGCTATATTGTATCATTTTTAAAAAAAAATATTGGCAGCTCAACAAATGGCACATAGGGGTTGATTTACTAAACGCAAATAGACTGTGCACTATTTTTTTTCTTATCAAATGTAAATGTGCTGAAGCTTCACTTTGTAAAGAATACACAATCAGGTGCAAGGAAAATAAAAAAAAAAAAAAAAAAACAAAGCACATATCAATGATTGGCTGATGGAAATTAGCAGAGCTTCTCCACATTCGCCAATTAGCAGAGCTTCAGAATCACATGTCATACAATTTGAGAATGTAAACCAACTCTGTGTATGAGGAACCCCACAAACCTGAAGTGCCTTAAACCCCTAAGGTATAAATCTGGACCTAGGTGCTTCTCCTTCACTACTAATTCACAGGCAGGAGGAGGGGCAAGACCTGTGAATTTTACCACACTTCAGCAAAGAAAAATCAGGTCTCCTGCCCTGCCAGGTAGAGCTGTGTTCTGTGTAAATCTCATATCTGAATAGGCAGAAATACAAAGCCCATGGCAGGTAAAACAGCTCCCATATATGTATTTTATCTCTAGCTGTTTGCCTGTTGCACATTCTTTATATAAAAACAGCATAAAAACAAGATTCTAAATAAACCTGTGAGGATACGGGAGGTTTCAACTTAATTTAAAGGAGGGTTTAATACAATCCCAATCCTTGCATAACCACATAATGAATAAACGTTAAACTCCCATCTCACAAATGCTGTGGGGAAGGACATTGCTCTTTGTGTAGAAGAAGTGGTCTCTCTACAGAGGTCTAACATAGCACTTGCTTAATCAGACCTATAGCTCTTCAATCAGCAAAGCTCATGCTCTTAAGCTTCGACTTAGCAGGGTTCATGTCAAACCTCTGTAGAAAGCAAGGATCCTCTGTAGCATGCTGGCATGGAGCAGGCTTTTTTACTAAGGCTGTGGCTGCTTATTAAAGAACAAAAGACTGTAAGATCTTTCTCACCTTTTATTTTGATGCACCTGTAATGTATTTGGCTGATTAAAACTGAATG